TTCCTCCAGGTATGTACATATTATACATTGAAAATTGATGGGATGTTATTCACTATAAACAATGTTTAATTGTAGGTCATTTAAATGAAAGAAAATAATAACCAGTATGAATTTCCCAGTGGTCGAGGCAAAGACTAACTGTAACTTAATGATATGGCGTCAGTTTCTAAAGTATGACGCTAACCGATGCTGTTTCAAGTCTCTGAAATGAGAAATTGTTTCTCAGGAATTCTAAATAGGCTTTGATGATAAACTTTCGACCAGTGCCATATCATGATGTTCACTGTGTACGTTAATGTCTAGAAACCATCTGACAAGGAAACGGATGTGGCTGGAATAGGTCATTACCTATGTCGCTGATGTCACTGAGAGAAAACTTTGAGAACCATTGACAGAACACTAGATACGCCTTGCTAATCATATTCAACAAGCAAAAAACCTAGATGAGACAAAGCTTCTTGCCTACTAACTCCCACTATGTAATGCCAAAACCTGTTACGAATAAATTCAACAATATGCAAAAAAATAAGTGGATTCAAGCAATAAATTCTTACTGCAGACCTCCACTGTGATTTCCAATTTGATGTTTTAGACCTACAACTACAGACAAACAAATTGTAAACCTCACATATGAGTGATAGAATATCTACAATCTAGAATATATCTAAACCTTGTGGTGATCAACAGCAAAATATATCGATAAACTTACTGGGAATTGCACTGTCTCAGGCGATGGTACCAATATGTAGAAAACTTTAACATCCGAATAGAAGCCTTTATGATAAACCGACTACCTACGAAAACGCCACGTGTGTAACTTGGTTCCCATACATTAAACTTGAATTGTTGCACTTCCGTTCATATGATTGTATAGTTGTTGAGGCTCAAAAGAAACCTAGTGACTGAAATTTACACGGTTGCTCATTTGTAACTGAAGTGCAAGGCCTGCGAAACATTTAGTGCCAGTTGGCTTTCGCCATTCTGAACTGCTTTATTCATCTACCACCTAGAAGTGACAAACCCTGAAATATTTATGACTGGCATAAGAATTAGTAACGTCTGAAAGAGAGTAGTCTTGCGTCTAATAATCTCTATCCATAGTCTTCAACAACCTGACAAACCTTTCTTTCTAACTCATAAGAATTATTTTTCATCATATGACTATCTAAGATAGCCGTAGTTTGGCAGACTAGTACTTACACTGTGTGATGACTGAAAGTGAGACAGTGTTCGGAGATGCATTTAGATGGAATATGCTTTGTGCGGCCTATGTAACCTGTTCCACAAGAGCCATTGTAATTGACAGCCTACGAATTTCAAACAAGAAGTCAATACGATTCCAAAGAAGGCACTGTTTATGCATATCGGATGCAGAGATAATGAAGAATCGACTATGTAAAGTACTAAGGAAGACCTTCTTTCCGATCAGCTTTGGATTAGCTTTTCCGGTTAACATCTGATTTGACGGTTTATAAAGCATAAACTGTCGCTTTGTGCTACCTCTGTGTTCGTTTAACAATTCGTCTGCTCTTATGGAGCTGGTTATATAGGCCACACAAAGCATGTTCTACCCAAAAACATCTCCTAACACTATCCTGTATGGCTATATAAAGGACAGTTTAAAGCCGTCAACAGCTCGATTATCGAGCATTCGGTTAGCTCTGGTCACTGTGCTCTGCGACTGCCTTCTTTTAAAGTCATTGACAAGCTGAAGTCAAACATTTCAAAGTGATTGCATATTCGCAATCTCAATACGCAGCAGAAGCTCTGGCAATCCAGCATTACAAGCCTGCTCTTTGTGTTCAAAAAAGTAACATTCCGTCTCTAATTTTGCCTTAATCATTATCTCCACAATAACCTTTCACCTGGTTAACTAGTTCACTAGTTACTAACCATTCCTAAGCCCGGATGAAGAGGGAACGTTGGGCATAGGGCTAGAAACTCTACCCCGGAAAACCAATCCAACCTCTACAGAAACTTCAAAGCACAAAGAAATTGTATAAGATAAAAACAAACTTATTGCTTGCTGGAATCGGAGAGACGAAATGACGCCGGTTGGTGGAAGCCTTGAGGAAGCCAACTGACCGATGTGTTTTCGCTTCTCTCAATGAAAGCGAGAGCAAGGATGTGGATATGGAATGTCTGCACAATGTTTGAAGCTGGCTGGCTGGCTGGCAAGGCTGCACAGATTGCAAACGAGATGAGAAGATTTAGAACAGAAGTGCTAGAAATCTGTGAAAACAGATGGGATGGAAGTGGACTCTACAAACTGTCAACTGGAGAGTCAATAATCTACTCCAATATTGTCACCCAGATGGCAACCACGAACACACTGAGTTACGGAGTGGCTACCATGATGTCCATAACAGCACCGAAGGCTCTCATATAGTGGGAACCAATCTCCTTTAGTATGAGGATCATGACAGCAAGATTCAACTCAAAAGGAAGGAAATTCACAATCATTCAACGCTACGCATCTGCAGATAATGAAAGTGAAGAGAAGAAGGAGGAATTCTACAGACAACTGCAATCAACACTGGACAAGACTTCAGTTGGCGACATCAAAATTCTAATGAGTGACATGAATGCCAGTCAAACTGTGAGCGGACGACACAGGAAGAGAACTAACCATGGGTCGAGAAGCGCTTGGTGAAATGAACGAGAATAGAGAATTGTTTGCCGAATTCTGTGCATTCAACGATTTGGTGATTGGAGGCCAGGCAGTGTATACAAAAACAAGGATATCCGCAAAGCGACATGTATTTGATTTCACTAGATGAACACACCACACTAAAAATCAGATTGACTTCATCTCGATGTGAAGAGAGCGGAGATGCAGCCTACTGGAAACGAGATGAAGAAGAGTAGCAGATGTAGGTTCACACCACTAACTACCTAGTACGTCGAGCCTACCTTCAAAATCAAGTTGAAAGCCTTCACAGAATTTGGTGATAGACCACAGTTCAACTTCAACATTCAGAAAAGTAACTGAACCGGAGAACGAAACTACTAAGGACATCTTCGCGTCAGTCTGCCATCAGGGCAAAATCGGAGACGTTGGGCAACATCCCTGAAGGACCGGGCATGGATGAACACTAGAACTCTTTGAAAGCTATGTGAAAATAAACCCGTGTGACAGTATTAGGAAAGAAGAAGAAAGAAGATTGGGAATGGATTTCGATGGACGCTTGGAAGCTGAAAGTGGAGAGGAGGATGTTGAGGCAGAAGATAAATCAGTGCAGTACACGGATGAACGACGGGAAGAGGAACTGAGTACAGTGTATAAAACACTGGACAAAGAAGTGAAGAAAAGCGCTTAAAGACAAAAGACACTTCTACGACACATTGGCAAGTGAAGCAGATCAGGCTGCTGCAGGTAGGACAGACCTGACAATATTGTATCAAATAACCAGATTAATATCTGAGAAGAGATCAACACACATGAAACCAATAAGATATGATGAAGGAAACTCAGTTACCGGCAAACGGGAGAAACAAAAGAAACGATGGTCTGACCACTTCAAAAAGTTCTTGAATCGACCCCCACCCTCACCTCGTCCAGAAATACTACCTACAGCCACAGAGCTACCAGTGAACACAAGCCCTCTGACGAAAGTCGAAGTCCTGAATGTCATAAGGCTACTGAAATCTGTGAAAGCAGCAGGACCAGATGGAACTCCTCCAGAAGCACTGAGAACAGATGCAGGGCCAACGGCGGACATGCTCACACGACTGTTTCAGGAGGTCTGGAAGGAAGGGAATGTACATGCAGATCGGAAGAGGGGTTACCTTATCAAACTCCCAAAGAAGGGAGACCCAGTCCTTTGCAAGAACTGGTGTGGAATCATGCTCCACTTCTGTCCACCCCAAGCAAAATATTATGCCGCATCTTACTGGAGAGATTAAACACTGCTCTGATTTCAAAACAGCGACTGGAACAGGCTGGATTCAGGAAGTACAAATCATGTGCCGATCGAATTGCAACGCTACGAGACGCGTCACAATACACCAGAGCATACAATAGCAGTCAACTGTCTACCTCAATTTCATCGACTTTGAAAAGGTCTTCGACAGCGTCGACTGAGAAATAATTTGGCAACTGTTCCAACACTATAGAATACTACAAACCTTTATTAACTTCATTCAAAAACTATATGAAGACGCCACATACCAAGTAATTTACAGTGGGGAGCTCGGTGATATATATATATATATATATATATATATATATATATATATATATATATATATATATATATATATATATTGTAACCATGATTACAATATACAGCTTTCAAAATTGATTTGTGGCAAAGAAAATTTCCTTCACTGGATTGTCCTTTAGTACTTTTCTTTTCTTGTCGTTAGTCATGAATAGGTAACCTTAACTTCATTGAAAGTTTGACTGCTAAGTGAATTTTCTATTCAGCGAGACAGTGGAAAGCTACATTGCACTGGGTTAAACCTTAAAAAGTTGCGTCATTTGCTAAACTGCTAACAACGTATTGGATTATCGTGACTGGTGGGGTCAGCCAAGTTGAATGTGAAGAAAAATGCTCAGTTATGAGATTGAATAATTGTTACGCTACTTCACAAATTGATACAAGGGAGAATATTTGACCTCTAACCTGGTGACTGCATATTAAATTGGTTGCAACGAGATGTGATAATCATGGGCTCAATTTCTTTTGGAATAGTCGGTACACATTGCTGAGGTGTTTTCTTACTTGGCAGAGATAACTGTCAGGTTAAGCCAAGTTTCAAATGGTTAGCTGACTGACGCCAGTCAGTGATGAATACTGTCTTGAAATCGATCAATCTCAACCTAAAATGCATTGTGTACTAAAGAGTAGGTTAGAGAAAAGGGTTTACCAAGTTTTGAAGACTGTGGATAGAGATTATTGGATGCAAGACTGCTGTTTTTCAGCATTTACTAATTCTGATATCATTCCTAAATATTTCAGGGTTTATCACTTCTGTGTGGCAGAAGAATAAGCAGTTCAAAGTGGAGAAAAGCAATTGACAATAATGGAGACAAGGAAAGAACCTACATCAAGGTTTGTGACTTTTCTATTCAGTGCTTTACTACACAGTATCTCACATTGGGGATACTTCAGTCGTCCAATAATGAAAGCTAATATACTAAAATAAATAAGAGGCATTTCTTTGTTGGATTGAATATGCAAAATTCTAATAACTAATAGCATACACTACTATTATTTGTATACAATAATACCAATAAGATTTTCAAGTTATCGATTACTGTGAATTCTATTCAAGACACAAACTTGTGACCTTTTATCTGCTATAAATTAGATAACTAAATTCTAAATTTCTACTTAAATGATAAAGAGTTCCATATATCAAGTTATTTAATCGATAACAGATTAGTATTTGTGTACAGTGTGTCACTGGTTCTCACTTCATCCTCAGTGTAAAAGGGTATTATGGCTAAAGTTGAACGAAACTGGGAGACGAGGCTATAACCAACTATTGGGTTGGAATAAATCTTTTAACAGACGAAATACACCCAATTGTTCATGAATAAGAAAAAGACATGTATCAGTGAAGTCGTTGAAAAGAAATATTTCTACGCTTATACGTGTGTTCATCTTATTCATGATTAAATCTTTTATTTGTAACCGTTCACAAAAAGTAAAAATCGAATCCCACCCTTCTAAACCTAGAATGATTACTTCTGGTGTAGTTGAAGGTAGGATGCTCAGTCCTCTTCTTTTCGCCCTTTTCCTTAATGACTTTTGCGAATGCTGTTCAGTTGGGAAACCGCTTTTATTCGCCGATGATGTAAAGGTTGTATACACATTCTTGTGAAAAATCTTTATCAACCTCATTCAACAACCATATCACAACGCCACATGCAAAGTGATTCACAACACAATGGAAAGCTCAGTAACACCTTCGAAGTGATTGATAACAGGAAGGAGTAAGATAAGGCTGCCACCGACTATCACCCATCATCTCCCTGATTGATTGTGGTCGACTAGATGGATCATGCAACAAAGTGTGACGAGCGATAAGAGGATTATACGCTGGCTGGCTGGCTGGACCGATGAAAAGACAAAACTCTAGAAGAAGATTTGGATTTCGCCGCCGATGATGATTTGTGCCTAATGTCGCACAAGCTCGGAGATCTACAGACAAAAACCAACAAGTTGACACAAGAGGCAAGGTAGCGAAGACGGGACTTCCTTTAGGCGGACGTGGAGAAGATAGAGATGATGAAGATGCCCAACCAAAAACAACAACAAGCACCAATCACCATCAACGGGAGAAACCTAAAGGAAGTAACCTCTCTCACCTACCTACCTACCTACCTACCTAGGCAGCATCGTTCCAACTACAGGCAGCGGCACAGGCACAGATCAGGATGCCAAAACCAGCCAAGATCGGAAACACAGCAAGACAGACCTTCCTTCATTAACCTGAAACAATCAGTGTGCAGATCTACTACAGCACACCACTCAGCATAAACAACAAGATCCGGATTTTCAACACTAATGTAAAGTCAAGTCAGTACTTCTATATGGTTATGGTTCGGAAACTTGGCACATTACGAAAAGCATTTCCAACAAACTACACACACACACGCACACACACGAACACCCGATACTGAAGATCAGATGGGTGGCCAGCCAGAATAATAGGAACAAGCAAGGAGGAACTCTGGCTGGCTGGCTGGCTGGCTGGCTGGCTGGCTGGCTGGCTGGCTGGCTGGCTGGCTGGCTGGCTGGCTGGCTGGCTGGCTGGCTGGCTGGCTGGCTGGCTGGCTGGCTGGCTGGCTGGCTGGCTGGCTGGCTGGCTGGCTGGCTGGCTGGCTGGCTGGCTGGCTGGCTGGCTGGCTGGCTGGCTGGCTGGCTGGCTGGCTGGCTGGCTGGCTGGCTGGCTGGCTGGCTGGCTGGCTGGCTGGCTGGCTGGCTGGCTGGCTGGCTGGCTGGCTGGCTGGCTGGCTGGCTGGCTGGCTGGCTGGCTGGCTGGCTGGCTGGCTGGCTGGCTGGCTGGCTGGCTGGCTGGCTGGCTGGCAACCAATCAACCAACCAAGAACCTATCACTTAACAAATGTGTCGAAGAAGAAAGTGGTGGTGGATTGGGCATGCACTGAGAAGACTGACTGGGGAAGTCATGCACCAGGCACTTGAGTGGAACCCAAAGGGGACAAGACGAGTTGGGCATTCGTGGTGCCAGGTTCAAAATACTTCATAGAGCAGTGTGCACTGGAGGCGTGCTACTGAATCCCTATGTTCCACTAAGAACCCAAGGGAAAAAATAATAAAAATAAATACACATTCTCATGTGACGACCTGTCCTACTTTCAAAGGCTAGTACAAAGCGAACTCAATGTAGTAACTACTTGGTCCATAGCATGTAACGTTCGATTCAACTTAGATAAGTGTGGCTGGATATGTTTTGGTGTACCTTCTTTTCGTCTGCAGTTGTCTCTGTAAACTGCAATGTTATCCAGTCTCCGTAGCGTCCTTGACTGTTTTAGAAGCAAATCATCCCCCTTCATCAGTACCTAAGCGTAAACTCTGTATTGTACGTATTAAGAATCCCATAGCTGTAAAATAGCAAAGTTATACATTTTATTGCTTGAGTTTATGAAGCATGACAACAAAATATGACGAAAAATATATGGACTATTATAGAGTAGAAAACCCGCTTTATTGATGTGAAGCTGGTAGGAAAAACTGTTGGAACTTCATAGCTGAGTACCTATGAGTCTTAAACAAAACCTTATCAAATCTCTTCTCACTCACATAAGACGAATCTGCAGTTTCGATGTACTGAGAGAGGGAATTTCTGTCCTCGGGAAAATGCTAGTTGAAATTGGATTCCCTTCACTTTTATCAACAAAAGTATCAAGCCTTAACCTTGCAAACAGAACCCTACCACTGTGACAAAAAAGATACTTTATATGGAGCTAGGTTTCAAAGGTAATTCTGACTCTGATATACAAAAGAGAAAGATGTCAAACTCTCTAGGAAGAATACTCAGTGCATCAACCCTAGGACTAGTGTTTCGCAGTCACCGAATGGCTCCAGAAGCGTTCAGGAGCACAGTCCCACATGGGGACAAGAAGCTGACAGTGCATTGTTAAGAGGTGAACACGTATCACTCTATCTCAAGAACCTCAGCCCTCTTAGTCATTTGTTAGGTGCAAAGGAAACTTCCAAAGGCTGTATGTCTTTGTATTCTCCACACCACTAAAGCTCTTGCAATCTATGTGAGGAAACCTAAGCTTTACACATAAAAGGAAATTATTCAATCTTTTCTCCTTTCGTGATCTTAATTTTGTCTCTGAAGTCACCCCTTTCTTCTTTTACAGTTGACTTCCAATGTAAATGACTGTTCACTATTGTTTCGATGCTCTTTCTGATCATACTCCCGTTTCAGAATATTTTGTCATATTATCCAATTTCTTCCTCGAATTTCTTAGTCTTTACGCAACTTTAGTCATATTCTGACTAATCTTCACTATTACTCATAGCTTTTGATTTTAACGACAGCTGATGTATATTTTGCGGCATATTTCGTTGCCATGTCTGACAAACCACTTTTAACTATCTAACCCTAACGTATCGAAAAGACTTACACAAATCTGCCATTGTAAAGCCTTTAGAATGAAGTGACTCTTCCTTGAAATACCAGTTCTTCTTTCATGACTTCCTGGTTAGTCTTTGCATATAAGAAATCTGTGGGTAAATTCAACCTTTACATCAACGCTGAGACTAGTTCTATTGTTGCCCAACGGTTTCCAACAACTCAAAGGAGAAACTTTCACATCCGAGCCCTTCTGTGTGAATATATCAATTCATCTGCTCTCGTGGAACCAGGTATATAGGTTATTTGACGCAACTGTTATTCAAAACGGTTCAAGAACACTATCCCGAAAGGTTACAAAGAAGTAACAATGGAGAGATAAGGAGCACTATAATTGAACACATCTTGAACACAAATCACCTACCTCAAAAGTCTCCCTGCTTAAAGTCATCTATAAAGTGAAAAGAAACCTCCTAAAGGCTGTATGTCTTCGTATTCTTTGCATCGCCGAAGCTTGAACTGTGTACACTAAAGAAGATTGTTTAACCCCATCTCCTTTCATGGTCTTCGTTTTCAGTCTCTCCTACCACCCCCGCCTTTTCTTTCCATCTTTCTGTTCTGAAACTATTTACTTCTTGAGTACTTCATCGTTCTTTCTTGTTACTGTACTCCTTCTGATCACGAATCAGTTTCCGATTATGTCACCATTTTACGAAACTTCTTGTCCAAAAGTATTTTGATCAATATCCATTACTCATCAGATGTCTGGTTTTTTGGTTTTTTGACAGGTCACATGATTGATACTATTTGTGTTGCCATGCTTGAGAAACGGTTTTTAACTATCAAATTTCTATACTAGAAAAATGTATAGATTTGCGGTTGTGCAGCTTTGAAAATGAAGTCGCAGAAAAGAGACTCTTCTCTGAAATACTTTTTCTTCTTTCATATTCTGATGAGTATATTTTACGCATTAAATTCAACCTCACGACTCGCTCACCAGAATTCAAAGAAAGTAACGCGTCCAATTCGGCTACAGTTGAAATTTCAATGAAACTTCTTTTGCCATCGTGTTGTAGTTACTTCATTCTAACTGCTGAGATTTTACTATCAAGATGAAAACAATAAAGTTTTAATTTGAAGGTCGTTTTATCACGATTTGGCTTATGAATGACAGGTAGATAATGATAATGACATTTTCTGTCTGATGAGAATAACTAAGAATATTACAAAACCGTATATGCAGCTAGGTGTCAGTCCCATAAACTGTCACTTACCTCTTACCCTCAAATGAACCTTTTTCAGTTATTTGAGTTCGATTAACAGGATCACACGAATGAATATGGTTACTTGGGAAAAATAAAACAGATTAGTCAAAGAAGGGTGGAACCTACCGACTAGACTGCAGAGTTACCAAACTCATCTTTCTGACCAACAGAGTTTTGAGTCAGGATTGATAATTTGTGGTCTCGATTCGCTGTGAAATACTGAAACTCCTTTGGAAATCACCCTTGCATCTCCAGTTATCAGAAATATCAGCATCAGAATTTTCAAACAATCTATCAAACTTTCATTCATCATAAACAGTCACATAAGTAACTCTAAACGAAAAAAGGAAGCACAAACAAAACAAGTGAAACTTAATTTATTA